ATATGCTCTTTGGGGACACTAACAGTTGACATTAGACTATAATTCCGAATTCACAATGTGACAATCAAGACTCAGCTTGTTTTATTTATTTCTCTTCATGAAAATTCGGAAAAATAGTTGAAAACAACGTAGTTTTAGTACATTTTATTATTACATACTTTTCTTTTTTCAACAGTTACAATTCTCTGCATGTAAATAACATTAAGTACTTGAACATTACGCTTCTAGAAATGCCGAGCATTGCTCGCTCCATAGCTCGTTGAGTGACTTGGAGCTTTTTTATGAGGCCCATAGTAAGTGATTATGTCTTAGAACCGTAGGTCATCGCTGTTAACACGCACTGCTCGAAGACTTTTGTCTTCAAGGACTGCGGTATGGCGGACAGGACTTCCCGAACGCTGCCCAACCGAGTCGGATTCGACGATTGACCTCTTTCTCGAAGTTGGCTCTGCCTAATTGGACGGTTTGTTCGAGGTAGACATATTCGTCAACAACGTCGAGATTAGAGGTTCCCATTGTTATAGAGGTGGGTACGACATGGATATTCGATATAAATTTCGTCTTGTCAACCCTGTGGACAGTCTCCACCAACCTGTTGCTAATCTCGTCCACAGAGACGCAGACCTGCAGGCAGTCGAAACGATCTTGAAGTTCGAGCCGAAACTTTTCGGGGTCATTTATATGGGTGCCGTTGGGTCGCAGAGTAGACTGCATCAGTTGTGACTTCTCACGTTTGACATCGATATTCAACAAGCCTCTTACCATAATGTGATCGCTTCCAGTTTTCACTCTATTTATGTTGGTTGGTTATTATGTAATATATGTATGTATGTATGTATATGTATGTACATATTCCTCACTGTAAATCTTCTCTAATAATATCTCTTTATATATGTATAATACTGGACGTACAGCCATCGGTGATTAACACATATAAGTATTACATATATCCAATCGTTTGGTCAGGGCACGCACTCCTTTCTGTCTTGTTCAAGCGTCTCGTCGAGCGCGCACGAGACACACTTTAAAATTAACATAATTATCGTTTTTATTTGATATTCGATTTAAATGAAACAAGCACTAAATGTTAACCTAAGCTTATTGTAAAGCATTTATCATAATAAAAATGACTGATTCAGCTATTGTGGAGATTAGCGTGCAAAGTCACAGACAAAATTTTAAAATCTGATATTTTAAGTTTAATATTCATTGTTTTTTACTTTAAAGTACTAAAAGTACAAACTCAGCTCATTTGTGATTTCATTATATGTATTGATTATTCAGTTTTAATAAAGTAAAATTAACAAAAACATTAGCCATTCGCAACATCAAAAAGTAGGCAAAGCGTATGCATGCTTACGTATTTTACGATTATTTTTCGTTTTGTAAATTTATATATTCAATTATCAACCAAAAAATGTTTTGTGGCACTTCCAAAAGCAGATTATCATTAATTTGGTCATAATTTACACCTAGCTAAATTATTCAAAGAGGGAGCAGCCCTATTTGGCGGGCAACCGCAGTCCGCCGTCCGCCTTGTCAAATATTAAAACGGAACGAATTTAGAACTTTCTCACACAACACGCTCCCAATAATTTCCATACTTTATTCATATTATACCGGTAGACTTAAGAACCCCATTGGGGAAATTGGACTAGCAAACATACCGGTGTATATACCCAGTTAATTTTCTATGCCTATGAATTATAAAGGCACCGTGTCTACGTGCTAGTACTTAAAGTTCGGCGTAAATATTAAGCACTCTTGTTAAATAATTTTGATTTTACTTTATAACCCTTTCTCTGGCAGAAAGCCTCATAACGTAAAATGCATTTTGGGCATTCGCTACCGATCTGCCTATTTCTACTGCAAAATGTAATCTTGCAGGTTTAGCATGAGTTATCTCTTCTTCTAATTCGAGATTTTCGAGAGAAAATTGACATTTCGAAGAAGAGATAACTTTTTTCTTCGGGCTCATGCTAAGCCTGCCGAATGCTGGTTAGCATATCGCTATTAAAACTGCAATTACGTTCGCTACGTTGTAGCTGTAATTTCGTACATATTATACATATTATATGTTTAAAAAGGTTATAAAGATTTTAAAATATATTTGGATATAATATTATTACATATGTAACATCATATAATATTGATATTTGTTATATGGGTAAATACTTTTCTACGCCACGTAACATTTTTTTTAGAACATGAGAGCACGACATTGGATTGTAAAAAATCCAGATTTTTGCTGCATCATAAGGATTATTAAAAAAGGTAGATATTAAAAAAATGTTGAAAAACCGTAAAAAGCAGCGATGTTGCAGTCTTTTATGATCCTTGGTTACAACTCCTTCAAAAGTCTGTTATAATACACTCAACAGGCAGATTTGATAGCGCATGCGTGCTGTTTAGTCAGGGTTCTCTTTGTGAAAACTTTTCAGTTGGCCGTTCTGTATAACTTCGAATGGTTGTACCCGCTGTCTCCCATTTCTCACTTAAGTCCGAGACAATCCTCGAAGATAACAAAAAAGTTGTGATGGACTAATACCATGGATCATTCAACTCAGTTCGTGTTCCTAATACTGTGCTCCAGTTTGTATCGATTCTTTTTACTAAATGTTGTATTTTACGTCGCGTGCTTAAATTTTTCTCGTGTCGTGTGTAATTTTCTCGTCATTCTACATTTTGATTACAACCTTCGGCTTCTGTTGTGTTTTGTTTTCTACATTTAATTTAACACGATGTTTAGATTAGCACTTGTTTTATCATCATATGTATAATTCGATTGGGAGGGGTAAATCAATTTAATATATAATAAAGTTACAAAGAAAATAATTGATAAAGGTAGATAAAGATTTGCGGAACAAACAAATGAACAACTACCGCAATGTGTTCCGTAAAGCGCTATCGCACGTATTTTGAAAAAATAAAATAAAATAAAACTGTTTATGGCGAAATAATCCCTAATGGATATTATTACAGTTTTTAAGTTATTTACTGTAGATCCGTAGATCGCAGGGTCATATTTGGCTCGAAGAACCATTCAAACTGCTGCGGTTGCTGGCGACATAAATAGATTCAGAGTGTGACAGATAAGGAAAAGTGTCTGTAGCACAGATATAACTCTTGCATTCAAAGTAAATAGAAAAAAGGTGCAGTGAGCTTGAGAAGGATCTATACGCAATGTTGCCAACATAAGCTATCAAAGTAAAATATAAGTGACTGAAATTAATACTGAATTAATTTATTATTCCATGAATCATTACCATTTCAAGTTTACTTAACTTCAATAAAGCAGAAAATTGTTTTACTCGAAGTAGTAAAACCAACAATCGTTATAATATCATCAGCCCACATCAACATGAGAACAAACATTATCAGATCGATTATTTTAACTTACCACGTTTACGACATTACGTATATGTCAGATATTTGGACTGCGTAGTCCAAATGGTGCATTTTTATTTGGCCTTATATTTGTTTTTAAAAGCCTTTTTGAATTCATAATAACATAATTGTACAAGCAGCGGCACGTTCACCTTTGTGGGCGTTCATTTATATGCGTCTTGTAATAAGGCGGTTGAATGACCAAAGTACAAAGCCCAGTTGTATATTGTGAGTCTATTAAAGTTCAAAATGTGCTTACACCTTAATTTAATAAAGTTCACAAGCAGCCAATTAGAAAATCCCACTACCGTTAAAAATATTTCATCATTCATTTATTCATTGCGTCGTATGGATTGACAAAGATGTTAATGTCAATTTCATATGCTACGTCTTTAATTAAGTATTTACTATTATTACGTATTTATGTTAAAAGTATTATGAAAATGTAAATCACAGTAATTAAAGTTAAAAAGTTCATAATATAACTATAACTAATTAATAGTACATTCGCTAAAATTTGATTAATCAATATATTTCAAAAAAAATAAAACACAACACAACAACACAAAAAGTAATTTTAAAGTGAATTGTTATTGTTATTTATGTAATTATGTAAGTATGTTATTTATGTAAGTATTGTTTTATCATCCAAAAATTCACCAATTGTATAATAAGTTTTATGTATTAGCACTTTTTTTTAGTCTTTTGGTAAATGATGTTGTATTTTGTTCAGATTTGATACAACTTGAAAATACCATTTTATTAGAGATTTGAATTGACATGGCTAGGAGACTGGATCTATACATTTATGTTGGATTTTGGCATGATTAAATTTTTTTTTGGTGTCTGTTATGGTGTTGGAAAGAGACGACGACAATAATACTAAATATTAAATACCTAAAGTATGATCACGGTGGTCTGAAGTTATAGGTGTCCCAAACACAGAAAGAAACTACGACACCGAAAAGGGAGTCAAAGACTTTATGACTCTGATCAATCCACACAACTTTTAGAACGTCAATTTGAGTACAGTAAGAAATTTCTAAAAATCGAAATAGAAAAAATGTTTAAGAATTTACATGTATCAAGAATACAAAAAGAGTATAATGATTTACCCTGTTTTCGTATCGTTATGTATTCAATATACAGGTGGTGGTAGAAAGTACCTTAAATACTGTAGATAAAAATAATACTGAAAAACGACTTCATTTTGGTTTTAAAAACAATTCGAACTACATTCAAAGATTTTTAAATATTCGCCTGTCTAAACCGTGTATCGAACCTGCCAAATGTGAAAAAAAAATTTACTATACTATCGAATGTCTCGATCATAAGGATTGTTTTCTTGTAAATAACTTCTAAAAGGAAACGCAAAGTTATTTTCCTGAACATAATTTCAAATTAAATGTTAAATTTCATGGTCTTCCTTTTTCCTTAAATGCAGTTCGAATTGCTTTTAAAATCGCAATGATGTTTTCCTTCAGTAAAATTTTCTATCTATGGTATTAAAGGTACTTTCCCGTGGCGTAGCCGTGAGACGCCCTGTGTATATCTTAAAAAACGTCATTAATATAGTCAACAGCACGGTGGACTTCGTACTTTAGGCTGTATTTATACGTGGGTTCATACTATGAATTCTTAACATTACGCATTACTTTGTTGAAACAGTCTATACTAATTATCTCTAGTTAAAATAGACTAGCACTGAATTGAATAAATAGTCATGGTACCTAAAAATGCTAAGTCGTGTCTGCGGAACCCGCAGCTATTTACTGGCTTGTTAGTGGCCTTTAATCTTCATCGACACATTTAACTGTATGCCTATTTGCGAAGTAGAGCGGATGTTCTACCTATTTCCTGGTAATGTTTGTTCCTTTGTTCGATACAAACATATAAAAAGTTGTATGTTTTTCATAAGTTGATTTATACTCGAGCGTATGTAGCATTACTCGTGTTGAAAATATAGTAAAACTGAGCAGTTAACACATGTTACAGGTTTCATACCACGATATGACTTCTCTTAACATTTCAGAACACACTTTTCACATTCCATGGTAAAGTTTTTACTGGCAACCGGCAAAGTACAGGATAAAAATTTATGGTGCTAAACTGATTTACATACGAAGTTACCCATATTACGTTTTTATCATAATATGTAGAGTGAAAAAGCTAAGGAAATAACGCTGAAAATTGTGATAATAAATAAAAAGGAAATAAATTAATTTGCTACTCGACAAACCCAGTGGAGGTTAAATTTGGCAAAATAGCTGCGCTTGTGATGATTTTTTTTTCATGCAGGCAATTCTACCACTCTTCCTTCGCATAAAATTAACAATATAATCAACACAATCTCAACTACAGTTACAAATACTACCACTAAAAATATACCCGATATGTGTTTCGTCTCTCTATGAGGCATCCTCTGAGGTTTTTGATTGTTCGACGCTCTGCCGAAGAATAAGTTCGCTCGAAACGGTTAGTCGTATACATATCCACCTCACTACTCCCACCATTACCAACGTTCAAATTTGGAAATACCGATACTAACGGTGATTAAAAAAAACACGATGTCAAGTGACTGGAAGAACTAGTCGTGTGCCTGGTCCATAACAGTTGCAGTCCCATGTGCCTGTAATTTCATCAGCACCCTTACCCTTCAAAACCGGAACACAGCAATGCTCACATTACTGCTTGGCGGCAGGAATAGGTAAGGTGACAGTACTTCCCTGGACGAACTCTTTCATAATGAGCTTGAGTAAGCAGTATACTCAATGATGATGAGTGATGACGCAACATTAAATAGTTCATTTATTATATGTACATCCCCGATTGTTGTATCTAATCATTTCTATCTTTTCGAAAAGACCCTGACGTAGTCCTTATACGCAAAAATTTATGATTTCGTAAGAATGGGAATCTTGTAAAATTGGATTTGTTTCTAATAAATATTCAGCGAAATTACGCCTTTCTGGTTGCTTCTGCGTAAACGAAGAAACATGCTCTTTATATCTAGCTATTTTGCACGATTTAACCTCCACTGAGTTCGTGGAGTAGCAAATTAATTTATTTCCATTTTTATTAACATGGAGTTCCGCAAAGTAACGCCTTAATTTATGAATTACGTCATAATAAACCTTTTATTTTCTTTAGGTATAGTTGAAGTCACTATAGTGATAAACTATTTGGTGCAGCTAGCGAATAACTACAAATGAAGACCGGAAATCAACAATAGGTATTGAGTCTTTCTTCTTGTCCTCATTACTTATGCCAATATTGTTATGTCTGGTATCATTTAATTTATTTTAATATTTTGTTTAACCTTTACTATATAATCATAATAATCTTAGTTATCTTTGTTGAAATATCTGTATGAAATAAACATATAATGCTCCACTACTGTCCATCTCTAGCTGATCCAATATGTGATTTCAAGTTTTTTTGTATTGATTTATGACATCACTCGACATCGCGTCAAAATGTCCAATAAAAGGGACAGAGCGTACGTCATATAACGAGTGTAGAAGTAACATACATATGCCTCATTTTATAGCGACGTATTTAGCGTTCATGTGAGTGTTCTTAATGTAAGTATAAAAGAAAATACTTCCAACTTCCAGAAATCCTTGCCTTCTCCGAGCGCAGTTCAACTAATGAACAAATACGAAAATCCAGACCAATGTGCCCTAAAAGCAGGGTTCTCCTTAATTAATAAAAATTCAGTAAATTTAGTGAATGAATTTTAGATCTAACGAATTCACTTTTCTAATTTACATAATAAATATTTAAAGCTGGTAGATGTTATAGAAATAATATAGTCATAGGGAAAACCTTGTAATCAGAGACGTATAGACTTCATAGTAACAACTGGTCCCCAGTTAAAACTCCTAGCAGCACAAAATTTTAAATTTTAGGTTAAATGTATTTAAAAAATACAAATTTACACGGACAGCTATTAAATTTAAACTTATTACTAGTTATAGCTAAAGGTAGGTTATTACTTAGTGTACACTCCGCATATTAGCTTGGTGCAGCAAGCGAACAGTTAGCTAGGTGAAGACTGACAATCAGCAATGCTGAGTCTTTAACCTTTTTGTCCATATCACTCAATTGCTTTTTTTTCCTATTCGTTTTTTAAGTATTGTGTTCCTTGTGTTTTGTGGAGCAATAAATACCTTTTTATTTTATTTTTATTATAGATATAGGTA